TCAGGGCCCACAATCTGTGAATTAAGACTAGAGGAGTTCAAGTCCAATGGTACTTTGCCTTTGGGCCAGTTGGTATGTAGACACCCTCTCCGCTTCCTCCTGGTGGCAGAAGACCCATAAAGCCCTGTCACTCACAGGGCAAGATAACATCTTCTAAGGACCTGACTCTTCAGAACAATGCAGTAGAGGTTAAAGTCCCACTTTAGGGGGAAACTCAGGTTCTCTATTAATTTATACTCTATCCTTATAAGAACACTGTTCTTTTACTATCCTGTGGCACCCACCATCGCTGTTCCTTCAGTCACACACCACCCCCCTGCTTATGTGTACTCAACAAATAGTAGCAAGGTTGAGTTTTTGTTTTTCGCCTGACATGAGACACTTACCTCCCAGGCCCCGGTTTATCTGCAAAATTGTCTTTGTATTTTTTTTTTTTGGTACTGGGGATCAAACTCAGGACCTTGTGCTTTTCAGGCAGACAGCGGCACCACTGAGCTAAATCCCCAGCCCAAGTCTTTGTCTTTTACCCTTCGACGACATACCCCTCAGCAAGCTATCCATGGCAGCTTTCTCTGTTAGTGTTATGAAGAGGACAAGGGCTGATCTGTCTTGTTTAATCCTCTTTCCACAGGGCCCGAGCACAGACTAGGTGCTCAGTATTTGCTAAATAAATAAGTGAACCTCCTAGAAGACATTTAGGTTTCCATCTGTGCTGCTTGTGAACTATATTCTGATTCTCCTTCCATATGATAGTTGTGCATATATCACAGCCCATTTTTTCGAACAGGCAGAAAGGGTCTATCTTGTTAATAATACACATGCCTCACACAGAATTTGGTGACCTTGTCAAAAAAAAAAAAAAATTTAAAAAGGGCTGGCTCAGTACAAAGGCCCTGGGTTCAACTCCCAGTACCCACACCACACAAACACACACAAAAGCAGAGTAGATGCTGAAGCCAATTTTCTAAATATCTGGGGTGGGAAGATTAAGAAACAAAAGATAACTGCTAAATGTCTGAGGTGATGGACATGCTAATGACTGATTTGATCATTACATATAGTACACATCTATTGAAACATTACTCTATACCCTAAAATACATAGAATTTATTGTTAAAAAAAAGCAAGACATGGTGACACACGTCTGTAATCCCAGCACTCAGGAGGCTGAGGCAGGTGGACCTTCAATTTTAGGCCATTCTGGGCAAGTTCCAGGCCAGCCTGAACTGCACAGAGACTGCCTCAAAAAAAATTGCCCCAATACTGGCTTATTTCTTGTTACATCATTTTCATTCCCACCGCTACCGAAGTTTCACTTATCTTCATATTAAACATACTGAGTAAACACAGCAAAGGTGTGAACAGGAACTCCCTACCTAACAAACTCATGCTTTCTGTCAGGGTTCACTTCTGCCTCCTTCCCTAATGTGGCCAACTGTCAGAACTGGGCCAGCCACTTAGGGAACTTGTGCGTCATCTCAGCAGAACCGCAGACTTGAGAGCAGGAGCTTTACTGCAGCCATCGTTACTGCAGCAGTGGAGATGCGTGTGGTACTCCCAGTTGCTGGCTAAATGGACAAGTGGACAAGGAGCATTGAGAGAGGCCACAAGCGCCGTCCTGGGCTTCCTTATTACTCCAGCAAGGCCGTCTGAACTCTTCGGACCCGGGGCCCGCCTTGGGCACCCCAGTGATGCCAGGAGACCTGGTCCTTCAGCCCGGATTCTGTGAGGCCTGGTGGCAGGTGTAGTGGAGACACTGAAGATTTCCTGAAATATTTCCCCCTCAATATCCCATGGCTGTACTGCAAAGCATCCTGCTCCTCCAACGTCTTCTCTACAGCTATTTCTTTTCAATGGCTAATGGGGACAAAATTCATATACTATACATTCAGCCATTTGAAGTGTAGAGTTCAGTGGTTTTTAGTACATTTACAATGGTACAACCATCACCACAATCAATTTTTGAACATTTTCACCATCCCATCAAAAAACCCACACCCACTGGCAGTTACTTTCCATATCCTTCACTACCACCACCCCCAGCCCTAAGCAACCACTAATATATTTTCTGTGTCTAAAAATGTGCCTATTTTTGATATTTCATATAAGTAGACTTATATACTATAATATAATCTTTTGTGACTGACTTTGTTCACAGAGCAGAATGTTTCTGAGGCTCATTCACATTGTTGCATACTTCACTCCCCTCTTTTTTGGCTGTGTAATGTTCTGCTGTATGGATGTGCCACTTTTTGGTTGTCATTTATTCATGCATCATTTGCTGAATGTTTGTGTTGTTTTTACTTCCTGGCTATATGAATAATGCTACTGTGAATATATATGAATATAAGCCTTTTTGTGGGCAGCTACTGGGGTGCATGGTGACTTCTTCGTTACTGTAGACTGCTGTTCCCAAAGTAGCTGCACCATTTACATTTCCACCATTACTGTCCCAGAGTCTCAATTTCTTCACACCTTCCACATCTTGCTGCTTGGAATTATCTGCCTTTCTTATGCTTGTCATCTTCGAGGGTGTGAAGTTATCTCACTTGGTTTCGATTTCCCTAGATCTATTATTAAGTAACAACTCTGCTGCAGTAACGTGTTCTGGGATATGATGAGGCCATAGGCCTGGGTAGGCCCTACTGCTGCTACTGATGATTGTGTACCTTCAGTAGCTCTTAACCTTTCAGCCAGTTCCTCATTGGTCAAAGAAGTGACTTCACTGGATTCTTTAAAAAATGTAGTGAGATGATACCTACATAGTATATAGAATGTAATTTCTTCCACATGACCAAGAATAATAGTAGGGCTCAAAAATATGCCTTTTTTTTTTTTTTTAAGTTCCTCAAGTCGAAAACTGGGACTGTGCCTCTGGTCTAATAAGGAAAATGAAAGACATGAACCTTTCACGGAGGAAAAAGACCAGGAGGAAAACAGACAAGAGGGTGACAGACAAGAGGCCCAAGCAGACTGTCCTGAGTGGTCTCTATATTACAATACACTCACCTAGCAAGGACCCTTTCATTCCCCAGGGTCTGATCAAACTAGTCTGTAGCTACCTGGCATCATGTAGGGAAGGGAGAACCTGGCCTGGTTTTAAGAGGAGCGCCCTGCTTTGAGAGAAGTAACTGTTCAACAGGACCCATCATTGTCACCTGCAACCTGGCATGAAGGCCACAGGCAACAGGCCAGCTGAGGAACTTAAAATGAGAGGAAGGTTTCACATACCTTTTGTTCTGCAAACTCAAGGACCAACAGGAAGGTTTCCCATCTCCATTACCTTTGTGTACCAAATCATAGATCAACAAGGGCACTTTTCATCTCCCAATATCTTTGTCTACCAAACCATGGTTGAAGATGGAGGCTTCTGATCCCAATCTGGCCCATCCAGCACACAAACAGGGTTTGTCTCAACTCAGGTGGATGAGGGAGGCCAGCTATCTGTTCCATTTAGCTGTGCACATCTCGTTTAGCGGTTCCTGCCCTTCCTCAAACAAACTTTATCTTGAACTTTATGTGGCTGGTGCTTCTGTAGGCACTTACTCCTCTTAAATTCATGGCAGGTGATTCTTACATCTTCCCTAGGGATGGCAGGCAGCTTCAGACCCTGTGAGAGCGAAGCTGCCCTTGCAGGATGTATTAGAGCAGTGAGATTTAGGACAGCTTGCTTGGTCTCTTGTTTAACTCCTTGCTCTCCTGGTCTTTTCTGAGGTTCCTGCTTGGGCATTTGATGCTCATTTGTCTGTTATTTATTGACTGATTGATTGATTGATTGATTGCAGTACCAGGGATTGAACTCAGGACCTTGAGCTTTCGAGGCAGGCACAGCACCACTGAGCTAAATTCCCAGCCCTGAAGTTCATCTGTCTTTATTTCTGTAAAATACTTGCTTAGTTGTTTAGCCAACAAAACAAAACAAAACTCCCTCCAACTTCAAACCCAAGAAGTTGGTTTAGAATGGAAGTTTGGTCCACTGCTAAAATGCCTCTACTTCCTAGTTTTTAGTTCCTTTTAGGAACTAATGTTCAGAGAAGAGAGAAGTGAGTCCCCTCTTTAGCCCTGGCTCAAGACACACTCTGCATCTGGAATAAAGGGTATGCACAAGGGGAGGGCTATGGCCCCGGCCCAGCACCCTGGGGCTGCTCCACCTTAGCAGGCCCCACATTCCAGGTCTGTGACCTCGTGCCCCCCCCCCGCATCTCTTTACAAAAACTACCACTCCCCCCCCTGCACCGTTCTTGCTGCAAACATTACAGTGAGTGGAGAGTCACAAACAGCCCAACAGTTTCAAAACAAACCAGTGCAAAAGGGTTTAAAAACATGTTCAAAGAACTACAAACTGGGAGGAAGAAAAGTTGGGGGAACAAGAGAACAGGCAGGGGCTGCGTCTGGCCTGGCCAGAGGCCCTTGCGTCTCGCTGGTAACTCGAAGAACCTGCACCTTCATCCTGTCAGGGTCCAGGTGACCCCATTCAGAAGAGTGGCTCCCCAAATAGTACGAGCTCCTTAGGACAGGCCTTCCTTATATGATCGTTGCCGTTAGGGGCGGACCAGGACGGCAGTCCCCGCGGTCCCAAGGCTCCCCGTGCACCGCCACCAGGGAACGGAAGGCAGGACCCTGAGACCTCCTCTCTTGGGCGTCGGCGCTCCGAGCCCGGAGGCCCCGCGGCGCCGGCCCGAGGAGGGCGGGTTTCGCTGCCTCTCCACCCCCGGCAAGGGTTCGAGCTGGCCGGCCCAGAGAAGAGGAAGGAAGGCGGAAAGGAACTTGTGCCCACCGTTTCGGTCAGACGGCGGCTCAGGCTCCGCAAAGGGGTTGTAGGAGAAACTGGGAGCACTGGTGGTTGGGGAGTGCGGCCGCGAGGCCCGGGGCAGCCGGAAGCTCTGCGCCTACAACTTTGGGGAGGCCACTCGGCCTCGGCGCCGCGGTCCTCGCCCGCCCGCCCGCTCGGGGGCGCCTCCCTCCTGGGGACCCGGGCCCGCGACCCCGCCCTCTCTTACCATTTGGGCCACTTTCAGAAGCGCCCCCTGGGTGCGTGGGTAGACGGGATCCAGCAGCCCCTCCGAGGGCTGCCCGGCGCTGGCGCCAGGTCCGGGCGCGCCGCCGCTGCTGCACGTGGTGCGGACGAGCCCAGCTCCGAGCGACATCGCGGCCCAGCCCGCCGGCCGCCTCGGCCGGGGACCTGGGCCCTATTAGGAGGGCGGGCCGGGGCGGGCCGGGGCGGGGCCGGGGCGGGGCGCTCGTCCCCAGCCGGTGGCGGGACGGATCCCGGACCGCTGGCCCGCGCTTTGCAGAGAGGGCGCCGCCGTCCCTACCCTCGGGGACGCGCGGAAGTTGGACTGGCGCGGAAGGAAACCGGACGCCTGGGTCTGTGACCTCCCCCAGTGGGCAAACTGGGGTCACAGCTGGTGCCTCCTCCGGGGATTTTGTGTGGGTGCCGCACGGGTGTGTGCTCAGGGTTCTCTACGGAAGTCTAACTCACAGGCAGTGAAATGCCCAGGCCGTACTGTACAGTGCAGCTTCATTAGTTTTTCTGTGGGCACACCTGTGTAACCATCACACATCAACGAATAGGACACGCCCAACACCTCGGAAAGCTCCCTCGGGCTCCTTTCCTACCTACCTTCCCTTACCTCTGCCCAGCACCCTGCTTCTCAGCTGCGGGCACCCACTCTACATCCTGTCATCCTACATTAGTTTTGCCTGATCTTGGACGGAGTGTTTTCATTTGTGTCTAGCTTCTTACATTCAATATAACTCAATTGAGATTCATCCTTTTGGGAATGTAGGTAGTTTGTATCAGTAGTTCCTTCCTTTTTGTTGCTGAATAATATCTCTTTGTGTAGGAACACTGTATTTAACATTTTTCATTTACCCCCAGCCTGGCCTCCAACTCCTGGGCTTCAGCGATTCCCCTCTCTCCACCTCCTGAGTAACTGGGATTAGAGGTGTGTGCCACTGTGCCCAGCCACAATGAGTTATGTTATGAACAGGGTCCTATAAGGCTGTATTTATACTGTAGTTACTCATTTGGAGAAAAGAGCAAAAAATCTATCTTTCTGAGTTCCATCCCCAGTACCACGAAAAAGTAAAACCAAAATTAAAAACAACAACAAAAACACCCTGTGAGCTTGTTATAGAACAGCACTGGCTGTCATTAGAAGACGTTTCATTGTGGCATCTTTTTGTTATTGTTGTTTCGTTTTGTTTTTTGTGACAATTTACAGATTTACATACTTCCCTAAGGGATGAATGGAAGCTTGAGATTATACTGTAATTGGTACCACTCTTTTGGAATTTCCCATAGAAATAGACCATTACCTCAGTAGGGGTGGACCATCCTCTCCCACTGACTAAGACTAAAGACAAGACTCTATATTATTGACCAAAGTTAATGATGTCATCCATATCCCCTTGCTACATGCCTGGCTTCCTTATTGTATCAATATTAGCTAAGCAGCTATACTTGTAATCTTATTGGTTGATTATAGCTAGACCCATGTTGTACCCACATTGTGACTTTGCCCTATAAAACATTGTCAGAGAGATGACCTTGGTGACAACCCACTCAGGACCCCTCCTGTCTCTCAGGAACTTTTCCTATTCTCCAATCCTATTCCTCAATAAATTTTTCCTACCTCTTAACTTCCTTTGTCCTTTGGAATTCATTCTTCAATTTCAGGGGACACAAACTTGGCCCATCTGACATCCAGCAGATTGAGAGTTATATTTCTCTTATATCAATCTGTCTTTGATTTTAACAGACATAGGGTAGCTGTGAGAGAATATATTTAGGCCAAATGAACTTATCTAATTTATCCCAAATTAGCCTCCTTATTCTTCCTGAAGAGTATTCATAAGTCCTTCAAAGGCTTACAGAAGTATTGATCACAGGTCTGTCTCCTTGACAGAGTCTCAAAATCCTGTAGAGTCTCAAAAGGAACTGCTTTAATTCTTGACAGATGAACCTAACAAGTATGTCCTTGTAATTTAACAGTTGTGGGTGTACTTAAAAGAACTTGGTAGGGGCCCTTCCATTTAGAGAGAAGCTGATCTAAAAGTGACTCCTTTCTCTAAACTTTAAGTAACACATGATCCCAGGTAGAATTTTAGGGATATGAGTTTCACAGTCTGGTGCTGGAAGGACTTTATTGGCATATTCTAGCAAAGCCTTTTGTACCTGACCTAGATTGATGTGTTTAATCATTTCCTGTGTCTTAGGGTCAGTGAGTACATTTGAAGTTAGAGATGGCCTACTATAGAGCATTTCACAAAGGCTTAGCTTGAGAGAGGCTTTAGAAGCAATTCTAACCCTTAGTAAAGCAATAAGTAACAGTTTTAGCCAAGACTCTGAGGTTTCTTGGCATAGTTTTGGCAGGGTGGTTTTAATACATAAATTTTTGCATGGTGGTGACCCGCTTAGCCCAGCAGAGAGAGAGATCCTGGGCCACCGGGAGCCCCGCTCTGTCCAACCCATGCCACACCCACCGGCGACCAGCCAGAAGGTAAGGACCCCTAAGCGACCTGCTTAGCCAGTGGGCACCTTCAGGCCTCCCCCACCTCTACCTCCTGGCTGTACCGCTACCTGGTTTCACACTACAAAGGCACAGGGGATACCAGACCACCGTACTTGGTAAGTTGGAGGGATTATCACCCCCATCAGAACTGGGACTATCTTCAGGGGAAGAGCAACTGGAACCTGCACTAGAACCTTGCAGAATTCAACCCTGCAGGAGGACAGGGAGCTCAACTTGGGATGTGCAGCCAGAAATCTGGCTGAATCCCACAGGTCTGCGACTGGCTTACTGAGACTCATTGACTTATATCTGCACACTGCTAGCCATGTTGTCTATAGTGACAGCAGAGACATACCCTGAAGAAGCCCTTCATTTTCATTTTTATTTTTTATGTTATTCTCAAAATTATTATTATTGATATTTGCTCTTATTTTTAATTTTTTTCCCTACTCTTCACATTCTTATTTTTCTCTTCTTTTTTTTCATTCTTTTCTTTTTCCTTTCTCTCTCTCACACTTGCTCTCTTGATGTACCACACTGTTCTTCATCTCCCTTTTTGTTCCTGTTCTGGCCCTAATTTGGATTTCTTCTTTATTTTTCTTTTCTTCTCTTTTTTCTTCTCTTGCCTGTGTCCTCTGACCTCACTGCTAACCTTCCCCTATCCTTCTACCTATCTATCCCTCCCTTCCCAACTCCTTCTAACTCCCCATCCTGAAAGATAAAGTTGGTATATTGAAGAGTTTATTCACTATAAACATATGTTGGGTTGGTCCTCAATTTTGATTTAATTCACACAATTGAAGGTGATAGATTAATAAATATCACAAGTTGTCATTTTCTAAGATGTATTTGATGCTATGGTATTGCTGATTGTATCACTTGGGCTAAGGTATTGTGATTGATCTAGTCAGTTGTCCTTCCTAGTATAATGAAAATGAGACAGCCTCAGAGTCATTAGAGACTCAAAACCTAAAGACCAGCTATATGTGGAAGACACCTCTGAGAAGCAATCATTCCATAAGGGTTCTCATTACAAGCAACAAAGATAGTCACAATAAGCAATTTTGAATTATCAACCCAGGAATTAAACCAAGGACAGTACCAAAAACAAAAGTGAGAAGATATTTAAGCAAGGCACAAACTCAGACTTCCAC